GATTAACCTCTGGCCTAAAGGCCAGATCTAGCTCCTAGCACCATATCATCCGTTGGGCATGGCACTGCCAGATGGTGTGAGTAGAGCCTGAATGGGGCCCAATCCCAATCCATGGAGCTGGGTGCGGGCAGCATGGGACCTCAGGAGCCCAGTCTCAGCATGCAGGAGCAGTGTGGGACCCTGATGCCTGATAATGGTGGGCAGGGTCCAGTGTGGCCCACAGACTGGTCCTGTGCCACTTACCTGGCCTGTGGGGCCAAAATGTTGAGCTCCACTGATCTAGCGGTTTCATTGCATATCATGTCCATTTGAATTGGCAACACTCCCTTCCAAGAGATTTTATTGGTAACCCTGCTAGCACATGAGATCAGATTTAAAACATGATCCTGTAATGACCTCTGTGGCAATACTGGGGCTTTAGAATGAACCTGGGCAAAAAGACCTTTTATTCATTGAGTTCCCTGGAATTACCCTTCTCTTCCCTACAGCAAACCCAGCTGAAAAGAAATGAAAGGGACAGTGTTGCTTGAATCTTGTCTACCCAATAAAAAAGAGCCATCAGCCATAGCAGTGGCATCACGTAGAGGGTGCATGGGGGTGCACGCGCACCCCCTGAGAGTGCCTGTGCACCCTCTGACAGGCCACACTCCCTGCTCAGGCAGTGGGTGGGGAGGGGCAGGCAGGAGCACTAGTACCCCCACCGAGAGCACCAGCCAGGAGTGGGAGCCCTGGTCAGTGTGATCAGCCACGGAGGGACCACCCCACCCCCAGCTGCTGACTGGCCGCTGGGGGGCACATGCCCCCACTAAGGCAGTACCAGTCGCCCATGATCCATGGGTATGGCTGTCCTGGTACTGGTGAACCCTACACAGCTGCAAGTATAGACAAGGACAGATCATGATCAGCACAATTCCACATCTGAATCCTAGTCCAGAAAGGCTGGGTGAGGAGCTGTCACTGACATGAAGTGATAATACAGACTTGTCTATACTCAGAAGTTTCTCTGGCTTAACTGAAAACCAGTTTGCATTGAAGTTATGCAAATGCTTGTTTGGACTTTCTGATGTGGGTTTAAAAGTCCAGCTTTATCAGTTCAGTCTGCAGCTGTCAGTTAAACCAGTATGAATAGGCTTAAATCTGGCTGAATCCATGCCATGATGCATTGGTTAACTGATACAAAATCACATCTTTAAGTCAAGACAACTTTGTGTGTAGACCAAGTCTGAAGAACGAAAGATTATATAACAGGGGTGAAGCTGTTCATTGCCAAGTTTCCGTGATTTTGAGGCATAATAATTACTCTTTGGAAATTGTTCTACAGTTTCTGGGCACCAGAGAGATTCTGATGAGGAAGATTTCTTCCTGAGGAAGAATTTTCTATGCTAATTTACTATTACAGATGGGTTGTTCACTGAAATATTGGAAGTGACGTGGATTTAGGGAAACGCTTATTATTTCAAGGAATGCACTGGAACAGAAATATGATAGAGATGCTGGGGCAGACAGGATTAATTTGCTGTATGAAGTGAAGCCGAACTCAGTCTAAGGAAATAACAGGAACTGAGAAAGGGGCAGAAGTGACAACACAGGAATAACAGCCCTACTATTTATTTCCTGTTGTGAATCGCATAGTCCCCACCTGACATCACAAACATCTTCTCAACAACTGTCAGCTGCTCATTGCTGCCTCTTCCTCATCAGCAGAGAAAATGACTTGCCCTTTACTCTGACATTTGGCCTGCTAATACCAATTTTCTGCAGCATTGTGGGCCACATGACAAATCATAGCTGTGGAGTTCCCAGGCAGTGGTAACAAGACCAGCAAATTGATTTACGATTTCAAGATCTTGGATCATATGCCTGTATAGCAAACAACTTCCTTTCCTTTGGTGGAAGGAATCCACAGAGCAGCAGTTTATAGAATATGTGTGACTGCTGTAGATGGTGTCCCCGTTTCTTTTGCCAGCGCCCACGATGTACCCATTATGCACACATATACAGATATACCAATGATATCTTGTGTGTGCATATGCACCCATTCATGGATATGTATGTTTGCGGACATGCTGATATACATCTGCTTACTTTTATTCAAGTATTCATAGACACATACAGGTAGGTACTGCATACATTAGACACAAATGTGCATATATGCATCTGAAAGCAGTGCTAGCAAAGCCGTACCTTCCTTTTCTTCTGAGTGCAGTACTTCATAGCCATTCCTGATTCAGCTGTCCCAATAAAGAGACCCATTCCTGTTCCTTCCTACTAGTCCTTCCTCACTCAGCTCTGATTGTTTGGGTAAACCCTGTCCTGCTGAGCTTTTACTACCTGCCTGTTTTTGCAATAAACTGCAGGGTTGCATTTAGCAAGTTTTTTTACTAGCTATTAAATGATTGCACCTCCAGGGGATCAGTTTATTATTTGTAGCCTCTGTCTAGCTATGCTTGAGCCTATGCTCTGCTCAAATACAAGTTTATTCAGGGATTTGTATGATATTCACAAATATTACTTCACAGAATTTGGCACAAATATCTTTACTATTTTCACTTTCTCTTCTTTTTTTGCTCAGTTTTTTCTAAAATGTTTTTTAAACATTGGAAATATCTGATGGCTTGAATTTTCTCATTTTCCATGCAAAATCACCCTTTCTCAAAAACTCAGCCCACTTCTGCTGGGTTTTTGACTGAAAAATCAGTCTACTTTCACTCAGAAATGGGATTGTTCCAGTAGATCTGCAGACCATATTGACCTTTCTTACATAAAAGTTCTCCACCATTTAAATTTTGTAGAAAAAGGTTAAAGCCCATACATTTTAAGCAGCTTTGGACATTAGAAAATGTTATACACTTCAAGCAATTAAATAGAATTCTTAAAATATAATCACTTCCATGAGATTGAGCTCTTCAGAGACCCTACTTCCCTCAGTGAAGGGTTAGTGCAGAATTCATAGACACATCTGGGCATGGCTGCAGGGGAGGCAAGGGGAGAACGGGTATTTGAGAGCCCTTTAGAACAATTACAGGATTTTGTGCCTTTTCAAAATGTTTAGGAGATATCCATAGCTCATTTAAGTGCCTGTTCAGGTGACCAGCAGAGTGCAGTCATGTTGTAGAGGGGTCTCCACCTGCCCTTGCTGTGTGATTTTTCTCTGCTTGAGACACCCAAGGAAGATACTGATTTGGTAAACTCAGGGCCCAAATAAGCAGCCATGAGACCTCCACTCAGCACAGCTGTGGAAAAGGTAGCCAAGGCAGTTTTCAAAAGTTAAATTCCAACCATAGTTTAAATCCATATAAAATGATTAGCCATCCTGAATTTGCTGGGACAATCCAGAATTCTGGGGATGTGTGGGGTCCCCAGAGTCCCTGAAATGGGACTTTTATCCTAAGTTTGGGGGGGGCTGGAAATTAGTCCCTAATTAGCTACAGGCTATCTCCTAAATCATAGTGTAGCACAGCTGCTTTCACACAATGCTGTTCTGGTTAAATAGCTCTACATTATAGCAGTGAATTACCTATCCTGCATGCTGCACTAGGGTGGTGGCATTAATCAGAAGGGATGTAGAGCATGGCTGGTTCTAGAAAGTTGTGGAGTGTGTAGGCCTGTGTCCCAGGTTTTGCTTCTAAGAAGTTGGTTGCTTTAAATCTTCCCAGTTGCAGTGGGCCCCTATGGGCTGTGCTGAAGACATCTAGAACGCTCACAAAAGCTCCCACCTTCCCTCCTCACTCCCCTATGGTGAGAGGTTGCAGGTAGTGACTCAGACCTGGTTACTTTGGCTCTGTGCCAGTCAGGGATTCCCCCATGCCTGGGAAATGCTTAACTGCCCGATTTGTGGAAAGGGGCCATAGAGCTATGTTGAAGGCCTCCTTTATAAATGGAATAGTACAAAGAGGCTATGCTGTAGCCCAGGATCTGGCTGGAATAGTGTTTGCTATGGTGAAGTGCTCTGGGGATGAGCTCCCAGTGCAATTATTACTGAACCCCAATTTACTTTTTTATGTTGAGAAATTTGCAGCTGAAGGATCCTAAATCTGAGGTCCCAGGCCCCCAAGTTTATTTTGTCAAGCAGCATGGAGACCAGCTAGAGAGACAACACATTAGGGCAATGATTCTCAGCTGGGGCACTGTGAGATCCTTTTAAGGCAGAGCTTTCCAAACTTTTCATGTTGGTGACACACTTTTTAGATATGCATCATTTCGCGACACAGTAATTCAGTCCCAGGGGAGGGGCCAAGGGATGCAGACGCGAGTAAGGGAGCTCCGCGGTGCCCTTCCGCAAAATTTTCTGCATTTCGCGCGACACACCTACACACTGCCGCCGACACACTAATGTGTCGCGGCACACAGTTTGGAAAACTCTGTTTTAAGGGCTTTTCAATATTAGCACAGTTAGATGTATGAACACCTACACAACTCACAAGATTATCCCAGAGATTTCAAATAGGAATCCAGTGTCAAAAACATTCTGCTCTGCTGTGGTCTTTCTGAGTTCTTTGCAACAGAAGAATTGCTTTTATTTTTTCTAGTCAAACTATAAGTGAAAACGAAGAGCTGGCATTTTCTGAAGTGTACCTTGAGTCTAGCAGGGACTGTCTTGAGTCTAAAATGGTTGGTAGCCACTATCTATGGGCATTCAGTGTTCTGCAGAGCTACAAAAGTGCTAGCTCATGTATCAAGAGCCTACGTAGAGCCAGGCTCTGCTATGCTGAGATACCTGGAAATAGTATTAATCCTAGATGCTAAAATTTGTGGTGATACTTAGGCTGCCTTTGCACACACTAGCTCCATAATTTGAATTAAGTGGGCTATGCTAGAATAGCACTGTACGTGGGCTTATAGGCCCTACTTTACACAAAGCTGATTAGCCCAAACATAGCTTAACCTAACACAGCTGTAGTGAGAAGTGTTCTGGAGCTAGTATGCACGGAGATCTCTACCTGTTGCCATGTGGTCACTGTCTTAGTCCTGAGATTTTGGCAGTAAAGGAGCTCTGGGCATCTGAGTAGACTCTTGGGCAGGACACTTCTGAAACTGAAATTAAAATTAAAAGCTAAAGGATTGAAGCCTTTGGCATAATTTCATGACATGTTTTACCTCAGTCTTCCTATGCCAGTTCTCCAAGTATGTGGAGTCCCAAGCAAAGCAAGACCTAACCACCGGTCAGCTCCTTCCTACCAGTTTCATGTCCTCAGCATAGCAACTAGTTGCCTTCTGACTACAACTCTCCCTAGCTTATGGTGAGTCCCACCTGCCTTGCCATTACTGGTGCCAGACTAGGGTAGGCGAAGGGAATTAGAGTGCAGTTCAGTAGGTTTATAATTCTCTGTGGCAACATTTCGCACACTGTGGGGGATGGCTGCTTGGTGGAAGTACAAAGGATTCCAAGGGGGCACACGGAAATCATGGCAGCAATCACTGGTGCCCTCGAGTTGCTCCTGTGTCCCCTACTTCAGCCACTGCTGCCACTCCTGCTACTGATTCCCCTTGCCACTGAAGTAGGGGTGTGTAAGAGTGGTTGACTGCTACATTGAGGCATAAACCTCCAGGGCATGGGAATAAAGCCCTGTTAGAGACCTGCAGGTCATTTCCAGTTTTCTCTTTAGCCTGTTCTTTTCCTCTGGGCATCTGGTTAGCCTTTCCTCCTGTGTTCTGATGGATTTGAAACCAACATTTTTCTCTCTGGTTTCAGTCCACCTATGCATTTTAGCAGAACCAGCCCTTTTGCACACAACTCTATAACCAACGTTTGACACAGCAGGTGAATGGCATGTTAGAGGATTGGTTCTGAGGGAAATAAGCACTTGTAATTTCTGTATGAATGAATGGGAGTCCTGAGTGCTCAGTCCCCCACAAGGAGAACACCCATTAAACTGGAGACTTGCTCTTGTGCACACTATCTGCTGCTGGATTTCTTGTTGTCATTTCCAGGTGTTATTTTCCTGAGTCTCTCCTACTTTCTTAGTTCTCTGAACCCTTGTTGCTGATCCACAAAGAAAGCAAGTCTTTGCTTGGGGGGCCAGGGGGAGGAATGCATTTTACACCATCTTACCTGTTATACCTGCTGCTGTTTAATACCTACATTTTTCTCACTGCCAAAAATAACAAGGGAATAAACATTAGAGAGACAGGCAATGTTTTGGATTCTCTTCCATGGTGATTTTTTTTTAATTAAATAAGACAAGTCAGCCATCTTCTATCGGGTCACAAGGTTCACATTCATTTCTGTGAATCTGCAAGGCTGATTCAGACCGGAGCACTGACTATTCTCTTCAGGGGACAGGTCTGTCGAGAGCTTCCACTGGCAAGCCGACCACAGTGGGCACAGCCAGTTAGAAAAGCCTGTCACAGCACTGCTGCAGAGTTAGGTGAGCCTTTAAGTTAGAACCTCAACATGGGGCCAGTAATAAAATGCATGTATAGTGGCATAGCTGCAAGTTTATTTTTCCAAAAACTCCCAGCTAGTAGTGCAGAATTCTCCCCATCCAAAAAAATAAACAAGAGGATGTTTGACTCCCTCAGCTGCACATTTCCTGCTGCCCAATGAAGCTAAGCCAGTGCCTTTTCCTTTAAAGTCTGCCTTGTGCTGTGTTTGCTCCACCTCGCCTCCTTTCCCCTTAGATTTTCCTCAGTGGGGAGAACCCCTGCAGTTAAAGTTACAAGGTCTGCTTCAAATCCTGGATGTGGGTATTTTGATTTTAAACAAAAAGAACAGCTGTTCTGGGCAGCACAGTATCAGCCATTAAGAGGGGTGAACACCTGAGATTCCTGTCTTTGAGTTGAAAATCAACAGACAATTGAGAAGAGGAAGAAAGAGCTGAAATAATGAAGCTGCTCATCTTCAAGAGTCCTGGAGCCCTGACAGTAGCTGAGAGCCTTTCTCCCTGGCCCATGGTGATGACGCGCAGTACAGCAGCAAATAAAAGGTTCCATTCAGATCCTGCTGCCTGCTCCTCTTCCTCCACACCTCTTCAGCGACGGGGTCTTCCCCCTGAAACAAAGCTCTCACAGCCAGTCTGTTAACTGGAGGTTATGAGGCATGAGCAAGGAAGCTGGGTTCAGGAGGGCACAACAGGCAGGTGGCAAGTGGAACTTTCTATCAGCACCTGGGCCTGGCCCATTTCTCATGAAATGCAGGGAAGAATGGGAAGAAGTGCACACCTAGAGAACCTGGTAGAAGAGGGTTAAGTTGTTAGAAACCTGCCTTTCCTTTTTCAGTAACTGAAATGCAGAAGAATATTCCCTTTTATTTACAAAGGTCAGAGTCTCTCTCTCTTTCAGACTGAAGATGTGTTCATCAAGTGAGGGAAAAAATCGCTTAAATAAATAAGTGCTGAATGACTCTCTTGTGCTTGGGAAGGTCAAGTGACTGACTGAGTAGAGAACTGAATCCCTCTGTCTCTCCCAGTCTGTGTATATAGGAGGTAGCCATGTAGTGCGGTTCCCCAAGCTGCTAATGAATGCAGCTCTGACTTGAGGGACTACTCCAGGAATGAGACAGGATTCCAGTGTCTGGGCCAAATTCTGCTGTGACTTAAACCCCACTGAAGTGAAGTGAGATTGCCAAAGGTGTATATTATAGTTGAATTTGGCCTTTAATTCCTGGGCGTATCTTGTTCTTATCTACCAAACTGCCTCAAGCTCTAATTGGGTTTTTTTTCCTCCCCATGTTCAACAGAGACCTGGCATCAGTTCCAAACTATGCAGAAATGAAGTCCCTATGCTTACTTCTTAGTAGACAAAGGTATGATCCCAAAGGTCATTAGCCCATCCTTTATACCATGTGCCATTTCACTTCTATGGATTTCCGTGCTTTTCTGTGTCATAAGGGATTGGCATTCTGTACTTACTGTTTGTCTTTTTGTAATTTTACTGTGGTTCCCAAAAGGTTAGGAGGATACTGTTACTTGAAAAGCAGTCATTTAAAAAAATGAGTGCAAAGCAGGTACAGGTATAATGCCATGCCAGTTTTTGGAGATGTTACCACCATGTTTTCTCTTATCATATTATCAACTCCTGTTAAGATGTGAAAATCCCTCACACATAATAGATAACAGTGCAAAACATATTGTCAATGCACAAAATAGATAGCCTGAGAAAATACAACCATGTATTTTTAGTCAGATTCATTTAGAAAGAGTAGAGGTGTTACCTGCTATGATAGCAGTTTCTATCTGTGGAATTTTTGTTTTATTGTTTGTATCCAGATGTTAGAGAGAGAAACTGAAAGGATTTCTCAAAATGAAACAGCATTTTGTTTGAAATCAAAATTGAGCCGCTCCTGGTACAACTGTCTCTCCACTTCCCATTTCCTATGGTCTCTTTTGACTGTCTGTTTTGGGTATAGCTCTGACTCTCTGCTAATAAAATATTCTCCCCTCTTTTTCATAAAATAAATAAATTAATCCCCTTGCAGTTTATAATGGTAAAACCTCCATTCTCTAAACAGTTTTACCTATGCCAAGAAGTGACAGCTTGTTCCCTGCAAGGCTGCAGCCCTTGTGTACACACACACACACACACACACACACACACACACTAAAAAAAGCACAACATAGAAAAGCACAAAAATTTTTTTAAAAAACCCCCATCATGATCACCTCATTTCAGCATAACCAAAGTGCTGGTTGGAGCTGCATTTACTGCCCCTGCCTCTCCAGGAAAGTTTCCAGGACAGTTTCCATTGCAGGTTGCTACTGGATCTGGTCAAAAACTCTAGTCAGCAAGGGACTGTGGGTCCAGTTCACTACTGACCTCTGCCTTGGGCCCGATCCAGTAAAGCCAATAAGGGCCTTTCCACTGCTTTAAATGGGCCTTAGATCATGGCCCTTGTGTAGGTATACATTTGTCCATTTTTATGCTGGCAGGTTTTAGGTATACATTTGTCCATTTTTATGCTGGCAGGGTTGCCAACTATCTGCACTGATGCATACCAGTACAGTTTTCTGGTAGGTGGAGTTTTCACTAGTTCTGTACTCTGTATGCATTGCTCTTGTCTTAAATATTCCAATGAAATGCTGCAATATGCATTAAAGGCCTGATTCATGGAAGCTCACCAGTCCAAGATAGCACTTACTCATGTGCTTATCTTTAAGAGGAGTGTGAAGTCGCATAGGGGTATATGTGCTTTCCTGCTACTTGTCCAAAGATAAAACCACCACCTCTCAAAGGTCCTGAAAATGCAGGTTGTCCTGGGGCATGGTAAGTGAACCAAGACCATTACAAATCTCTACCTCCACCTTGATGCTCTATTTTTGTAGAGGCTGGCCATATTATCTTTGGCTGACAGGTGAGATTGTTTTGGGAACATGTAAATGTCTCCAAGATAGAACCTGTGTATTTAATGTATACTGGCTTACGTTTATCTGCACCAGGGAAAAAATAACAAATGA